GGTGTTGGATCATCTGGATCTGGAATTACAGGTAGTTGTGAGCTACCCAACGTGGGTGCTGGGAGTTGAACTTGGGTCCTCTAGAAGAGCAGAATGTGCTTTTAAAGACTGAGCCTTCTCTCCAGCCCTCCACCCCAGAACACTCTCCTATCATCAATATCTGTTAAAGCTTGGTTGTAAGATGTCCTCCATGAGCTTAAACACTTGGCCCTTGAACAGAGCTCAAGTTAGTGTTTTGGAAGGCTGGAGAACCTTTGGGGTATGAAATCTCCCTGGAAGAAGCGAGTCACTACGGGCAGGCCTTGAAGCTTTTTATGGCTGGGCTCCTACTTCCTGTTTGTTTTCCACTTCCTGGTCTGCCATCATGTGAGAAGTATTATCGATGCTCCCTTGGCTATGAATGTCACTGTCTTCCCCTCCATGACAGACTACTGTGGTATCATGAAGTAAACTTTTCCCCCCCTCAAGCTCTTTCTGTCACAGCTCTGAGAAAGGTTAGCTGACATAGCTCTCCTCCCTACACCAGGCTGCATACAATGACCAAAGTTACTCTTTCGAGTGTACATGTGGGTGCACGTGTGCACACAAGCACACGTGTATATGTCCACATGGAGACCAGAGGTTGGCATCAGGTTATCTTCCTTGTTCTTCTCCACCCCTCCTTTCTTCTCTACCCTCCCCCACCCCGTTTCTGAGACAGACTCTCTTCTAATCCTGAAGTTCACCACCCCCTTCTTTTAAAGCTTTAGTTTTAAGTGTGTGTGTGTGTGTGTGTGTGTGTGTAAAGGTGGCATTAGATCTCCTGGAAGAGGAGACGACTGTGAACCGCTTAACGTAGGTGCCGGGAACTGAACTCAGGTCCTCTGCAAGAGCAGCATGTGTGTTCTTGACCAATGAACCTTCTCTCTAGCCTCCAGTCCATTTTTGTTTTGTTTTTTTCTTCAAGACAGGATTATTCTTTGTAGCCCTGGTTGTCCTAGAACTCTCTTTGCAGACCAGGCTGGCCTGGAAGCACAGCGATCCACCTGCCTCTGCCTTCCAAATGCTGGGATTAAAGGTGTGCACCACCACCATCTGGACATTTTTGTTAAAAATGGGGTTCCCCAACTCAGTCATGTTTGCATACATGAGCTGCTTTAACCAATGGAGCCATCTCCTCAGCTCTAAAAGCTACACTTGACTTAGCCACACATTTCAAAGACATTGAGCTGCTGGCTACCCTGCTCCAGATTTCCCTCAGGAAAGATACACCGAAGGAGTCAGAGTACTGAAACTGGACGTGGTATCCCAGGCCTGTCTTCCCAGCTCCTTAGGAGGCCGAAGCAGAAAACTCCTCAGTTCAGGCTTGTCTTGTCTACAGAGTGATTCAAGGTCAGCCTGAGCAACTTAGTAAGGTCCTGTATCAAAATAAAAACTGAAAAAGGCTGACGATGTGGCTCAGTGGTAGAGGCCCTGCCTAGAATCCCTCAGTGAGGGTTTGGGGGGTGTGGCTCAGTGGTAGAGTGTGCTTGCCTTGTATCAGGAGGTCCTGAGTCCAATCCTCAGTGCTATAAGAAAGAAAGAGGGCCCAAGGGAACACATGAAGGTCAGTGGTTTGATCCTGTGCTCTTGAATCTTTCTGAACAGCACACTGCAAACTGAAGGGCTGGTGGCACTGTTGGATATGAGCCTCCTTTGTAACCTGTGCCTGCAAAAACGGAGCTTAATCCACAGAGATGTAGACTCAAATCTTAGGCTCTGTTACTGACCTCATGACCTTGAGTTAATCCTGAAACTCTAAGTTCCTTCTTTGTAAAAGTTATGTCACTGAATTGTCCCTCCCTGTATACACTAGGATATATGTCATTTACATGTCCATACTTCTATATATAGAGACTAGGTCCCTCTTCCTGCCTACTTCCTACCAAGACATCACATATATAAACTAATCCTACTCATTCAGGTAGGGTCCCAGGCTGCCTTAGCCAGTCTTCAGTCTCCCCTCTTTCTTTATTCAATATGCATGTTTATATCCATGTGTGTATGTGCACACGAGTGCAGGTACCTGCAGAGGCCAGAAGAGGGCACTGGACCCTTTGGAGCTGGAGTTACTGATGGCTGTGAGCCACCTGGCATGGGAGCTGGGAAGTGCACTCAGGTCCTCAGCAAGAGCAGCAACCAGTCCTAACTGCTGAACCACCTCTGCAGGCCCGGACCTCCTTTCTTCCACCCTGCTGGACTACAGTCCCTTCCCTTCCTTCCCTGGACTGGGCACTTAGCTCGGCAGAGGGAGGGGCAGTCTGTCTCTACATCCCTTGGGCTCAGCGGCACCCAGGCACCAAAGTGAGTATTTCCATGCTCTCTCTACCTGCTCCACCCCAAGGAGACATGGGGGCGGGGTGGGGGAGAGGAAGTGACTAAGTCTGCTAGGTGGGTGAAGCAGGGGAGTGCTTGAGGAGGTTCAGGGTGATGTCGCTGATCTTGAGGACTGACGTGGGACTGACTGGGGTGGAGGGGACATTCCAGAAGAGAACAATGTCCAGGTGGGGAGAGGGAAGAGAAGGCAGGCAACCTGTGGGTGTAGTAACACTAGCTGATATATGAGTCTATCTGCTGGGGGTGGCGGCGGCTAAAGACAAGGATTCCGGATCCAGGTTCCTCAGAAGGCCTTGAATGCCGCAGCAAGGACCTGGGCCTGTGGAAATGGTGATTGTTTCCTTTAAACGGGTAGCGAGATGTTCTGGGGGGGGGGTGGCCCGTTTTGGAGAGGTAGGTGCTAACAGGGATCTGGACCACTGTGGTGGGTCAGAAGAATCAAGAATGTCTGCTGTGAACAAGTTAATAGCCATTACACCACCAGTATTCCATTTGGGGCACAGTTGCTTCTACGTGAATTGAATGACCCACCTGAACGAAGCAGGCCGGGTTTGTGCCATGTCCATTATTTCACGGAGGGACAAAGAGAGAAACAGAAAAGGACAGCGACCTGGCCCAGGCCTCCGGTGCTGATTCCAACATGAAGCCACGCCTGGGCTCAGAGTGCAGAAGGGCAGGAGGTTGTCGGTCCTCAGACTGGCTATACTCAGCAGTTTCTAGAGTCTGAGCCTAGAGACAAGGAGGTGACCTTTGACCCCTCAGTCATCTTGCCCCTGGCCTCTTGGGCCTACCCTGGAAGGGAGGAGGGGTAGCCACCTTACAAGGGGACAAGGTTTCCCTGTGGTCAGGTAGGCCAGCGTGAGCTTTTCTCTGGGTCTTAATCCGAGACCTTCAACTTGGCCCCTGGGAGCAGCAGATGAGGGATGCCCATAAGAGGGCCAGTCCCTTCACCAAGGCACCGGAAACAGCCAGAGGCAGACTTTCTCCTGTCTTTCTACCGAATGTCCCCCTAAAAAAAAGGCCCCCTTTTTCCCCCCGGCTTGAGAAAGCTAGGAGGCACCAGAGGGCTGTCATGAGCTGTTGGGGGCCAGAAGTTGGGAATCTGTCACCTCTAGCCTCTGGGTCCTAGGGATTGCCTGGGGGTGGGCAGAGGGCAAGTAGATGTAGGGTTAGAAGGCCTCTCTGTCGGAGAGGGGCGTTTTGCACTTGTGTGTGTGTGTGTGTGTGTTCAGAATCTGTGCTGTTAGCTTTGTTTTCAAATGACCTGTTTAATGATTTACCTGGGGCCATCCAAGGAGCAAGGGGCTCTATCCTCAGGCTAGGGAGGCAAAGATTTCAAACCTCTGGTCCCCACAGATAGAACAGCCCTAGGAGAAGAAAGTAAATAGATACAAAGGTACCTAGCTGGCCTCATCTTCTAAACAATAGCGCTGACCAAGCTGTTGAAGTCAGGTCCCTTAGCAAGAACTTTTAACAGGTTCTTTCCCCTGAGCCCAACCCCATAGGAGGGAGACAAGGCAGCCTGGGAAGGGGGGGGGGGAGGGGGTGTGTTTGCTGTCAATTTAACTTAATCTTGACCTGTAATGTATTCATTCCTTTGGCAGCGAGGGTGAAGCATCTTCGCCTTAACTGCTCCCCCCCCCAACTAGACCCATCATAATGGTAGTCAAATGAGATTTAAGTTAACTGTAGCCTGCTCCAATTCCCACTCCACAGGGGGAAAAGGGCAATTAAAAAAAAAAAAAGATAACCGGGTTCTAATCCAACAGAAGTTTATGAAGTCAAAAGCACACCTAGCAATGGGAAAAATCCAAAATTTAATTTTTTTCTTCTTCTTCTTACCTCCCAAGGCCTTCTACTATTTTTTTCCCCCTCTGCAACATTCAAGCCCAGCCTACAGGCAGATCTATAAACACGCCTGCTCCTCCCCTTCCATGGTTCAAAATCCCCCCTCCCTCCCACTTCGCTAGACCCCCAAAGAGAAAAGAAATCAGCTACCCTGGCCCTGCAGCCCCTCCCCCGCCGCCTGCACCTCCTTTCTCCCTTCGCAGGCACCTGGAGATAAACATCTACTAATGATTTTATGATTTTTCTGTTCTGGGGTAGACGAGCTCAGCGCCCTCCCTCCCCACTTGCCAGTGGCTACAGGGGGGCCGGCTCAACCAGTAGGAGGGGAGTGGTGGTGGTAGTGGATGGATGGGGGTGGGGGGTGGGGCGTGTTTAGTTTGTTAATTTCCACCTCCGGATCCCCACACCTGTTTTTCTTTCTTTCTTTCATTCATTCATTCATTCATTCATTCATTCATTCATTCATTCATTCATTGATGCATCGCAGAGGCCATTTGGGGAGGTTACTAGAGATCTCAGGGAAGGGACTGCGATGGGGGGGTTGGGTGTTGGTGGCAGCAGTTGGAGGCGCAGTGGGGTGGGGGGGATCTGCATGGAGGGGACCCCCAACTAGAGAGCACAGGGGTGGCTTTGTCCGATGCAGAAGGATGGCAGAGATCCCGGGGGGGGGGTAGTGGGAGGGATGAAGTTGTTTTTGCACTGCGTCCCCCCGGGGTGCGCCTCTTTGTCTGTCCCGGGGCGGGTGCCACGCGCCCCCCTCCTCCCCATCCCCTCGCCCTACACTCTCTTTCTCTCACCTGGTCTTGGAAGACAGGAAGGCAAGTTTGATGAGGCCGTAGGTGAAGAGCGGGATACTCTCCTTGGCGACGCTGGCAACTTGCAGCCGGTGTTCCAGAATGTGCAGTTCCATCGTCTGCACAGGGGTCCTCCACAGCGGATCATCCGCGATGGCCCGAGTTGCGGGGGACGGAGGGGGGGGGGGACGGGGACGAACAGTGGCCCCCGCCCCCTGCGTGCCCCAAGCCTTGGGGCAACCGGCCCAGGGAAGGGGGCCCGAAGCTCGGTGCTGGGCTGATTTGTATTCGATCCAGAAAAAGGAAGCTTGGCAAGTTGCAAAAAAAGGAGGCCTGGGGAGGACCTGCTGGGTGCAGCGAGCTACGGGGTGGACAAGCAAACAGCGCCCGGCGGAGCGCGGCGCCCGGCGCAGCAGCAGCTGGTGTTCGCTGTAACAAACAACTTGCCACTCAAACGCCGGGCCCGTGCTGCGCAGGCGCCAGTCGCGGGGCCACGCGATGACTATCGGGATTTGTAGTTCATGCTCATGTTTTTACACGGCCCTTCCCCCTGGACTACTCCAGTTTGCTGATGTCAAGCCAGGGGGGCTGGGCTGTTGCGCCACGGTGCACCCGGAATGCAAGATTTCGGGGTTCCCCAGGGGCACAGAAGAACCCTATGGGACACATAGGACATTTGGAGTCGACCTAAGCTTAGATGCCCGCTCTGCCATCTCTCAAACTCAGGATTAGACTCTTTCTTTGGGGTGTCAAGCGAGCAACCCCTTCACAAACAACTCCAGCGTTGAAGGCCTGAGCCTGCCAGGGGAGAGATTTAGAGGAATTGGTAATTGTCGTGCAGCGAAGCCAAAGCAAAAGACAAGGCTTGGATTAGATAGAGAGGAGGTGCTGGGTCCTTGTGGAAGGGTGCTGAGGGCTGAATGAGAACACACAGGCAGGGGGAGGGGGTGCTCAGAGGGAGAGCTGCGCGGCCTTCCAGGCAGAAGGAACACCGTGTCCAAACTCACGGAAGCGTGAAAGCCCCCACGGTACTGTGTTTGGCTTTGTTGCTGCGGAAAATGTGAGGGAGGAGAGAGATAAGGCAGGCACGGGAACCAGGACCCGGGTCTCCGGGATCATGGGTACAAAGCTGCTGAAGTAACTGTGTGTCTCCGGGAGAGGGGAGGGTGAGGGGGGTGGGGCTGGGTGGGAGCGGACCTGGATCTGAAAGAGAGTCATCCTTAGTGTTTCTAACCCCAGGCTTGCATGCTGTCGGGGATCTGTTCAGCAAATATCCGCCCCCCCCCCCCCATGCCTTTCATGGCTGACTAGGTTCTGAAATCCTTTAGGTTAAAGTTACTGACTAGTGCTTTTGGCCTCTGGCAGAGTACTTTGGAGGATGTAATGGGTCAAATCTACCTGCTGAAGCGGACAGGAAACTTTTTTTTTTCTTTTTTTTAGAGGGGGGACCCTGACTGTCAACCTCACATTCTTAGTCCCCTTCTATTAGATAGGGCTTTATTATGCTTCCTCATACCAACAAGGGTGTAAAAAAATCCAGAATCTCCTCTATTGCTTTAATTTCACTGAAGATTGGGCCTTCGAGATGGGTCAGTGGGTAAAGACACTTGCTGCCAAGCCTGATGACCCGAGGAAGATCTCTTGGACCCAAACTTCAGATCTTCTTGCTGCCATCTCCTGAGTGCTGGGATTACAGGCGTGCAGTCCCAAGTCTGGTTTATGCCAAGGTAGGGATGGAACCCAGGGTGTTGTACATACTAGGTAAACACTCTTAACTGAGAAATCCCAGCTTTCTTTTCCTTTATCTTCAACTGAAAACTTAAAAAACATACTGTTCTGTGTATACAGGTGTTTTGCCTGTATGTATGTACGTATGTATGTATGTGCATCACATGAATGCTTGGTGCCCAGGGTGTCCAGGAGAGTGTCAGACCCCCTGGCACTGGAGTTACAGGTGGTTGTGAGCTGCTCTGTGGGTGCTGGGAATTGATCTCTGGGTCCTCTAGAAGAATAGCCAGTGTTCTTAACTACTAAGTAGTCTCTCCAGGCCCTTGTTTACATTAGAAAAGATTTGTTTTTACTTATGTTTCTGTGTGGATTTGTTGTGTCTGTGCTGAGGGTATGTGTGTCCTGGAAGACCCAAGCCAGTATTGAGTTCATGGTTCTGGAATTACATACAGGTGGTCACGAGTCAGTTGACTTGGCTGCTGAGATCCAAACTCAGGTTTTCTCTTAATCACCAAGGCAGCGCGCTCCAGCCCTTATTTTTGTTTTCTGGATTTTTGGAGACTGGGTATCCTGTAGCCCAGGTTAGCCTGGAACTCTTGATTTTTCTGCTCCTGCCTCTCAAGTTCTTGGATTGAGGGTGTGCCTCCACCACACCAAACAGACCATGGCTCAGTGGCAGAGTGCTTGCCCGGCATTTACAAGACCCCAAGTTTGTTCCCCAGCGCTGTAAATAAATAAATTAAAATAGTGGACATGATGGCACACTTTTGTATTTCAGTGTTTGGAGGTCGAGGCAGGAAGATGGTTGTCAGTTGGGGGCCAGCCTGGGCTACCTTAGTGAATTCATGGCAGACTTTGGCTGTGTAGTGAAGGTTTGCCTTGAAAATCCAAAACTAACCTAACCCCCCCAAAAAAATCTGTCTTTCTCTTCTAAAAGTCTCTGTTCCATAAAGGCAACAATTTTGGGTGCTGGTGGGTAAGATGGCTCATCAGGTAAAGGGGCTTGCTGCCAAGCTTTATGATCTGAGTTCAATCCCCATGACCCACTTGGTAGAAAGAGATAACCAACTTCCTAAGTTGTTCTTTGGCTTCCATATGCTCTCTCTCTCTCTCTCTCTCTCTCTCTCTCTATCTCTCTCTCTAAGTAAATGTAATAAAAAATTAAAAGACAATGACTTTCGGCTATTCTCTGCTGTGTTCTCACTGTTAGTAACTGGTATATGAGGGAAGGTCACTTATTCAAAGACTAGGGAATACATACGTGCAGAAGTTTATGCCTTTGCAATGGACTCAACAGGACTAGAAGGCCCAGATGGAAATGTGCTCAACAGGCCAGCTTGCTGGTACATATTCATAATCCTAGCATTTGGGAGGCAGAGGATCAGGAGTTCAAGGTCATCACCAGCTCCATAAAGAGTTCAAGGATAGCCTGGGCTACAGTGTGAAACATCTCTTTCCCTCCTGACAAATGCATTCCTGGACCTAAAAGCCAACACAAGCTCTGGCTGGAGTGAGGGTTAAGGTAGCTGAGTATCAGCCAGTCAGAACTGCACCTGAAAGAAGGAATTGTGCCTGTAGGCACCGTACGTCACAAAACAACTAACGGGTGACGAAACAAAACAAACAAGGCTCCAATCAGGATCTGGCTGGTTTTCTGACTTCTGTTCCCAGTGGGCCAAATCAGTATTTTCCAATCTGCAGGCTGTGACATGCAAGTGGATGGTGAAATCAATTTTTCAGGACAGGACTAGCATAAAAACCAACTGAGAATCCAGAAGGGCATAGAGAAATGCACATGGTAAGGAGTGGTTATTCTCACCAGAATTTATGATTTAGTCATGAGGGTGTGATGCGTGTACAGTCATATATTGGACAGTGACATAAAGGTTTCTGTTTGTGTGTGGAGGTGTGTGGGTGGGTGTGTGGGTGGGCTGGGGAGTAAATGCAGGATTTCCTACTGAGTGATGCCCTCCCACCCCAGCCCCTCAATGGAAGATTCTAGGCAAATGTTCTATTGTTGAGCCATGGTTCTAGGCAAGTTCTCTACAGTTAAGACATGCTTCAGCTCCCCTCACTGGGGGATTCTAGGCAGTTGCTCTACCACTGAGTCATGCCCCCAGTCCCTCACACTGGAAGATTTACAGTATCCACTCTACCACTGAACTACATCATCAACCCGTAACTTTTTGAGGCAGAATCTCTCATAGCTCATTGCCATGACCAACTGACATTGTAACTCAGCATTAATTCCTTTACATTAAAAAGCTGACACACGCCGGGGGTTGGTGGCACACACCTTTAGTCCCAGCACTGGGGAGGCAGAGGCAGATGGTTTTCTGTGAGTCTGAGGCCAGCCTGGTCTACAGATCGAGTTCCAGGGCAGCCTCCAAAACAATACAGAGAAACCCTGTTTCAAAAAACCAAAACCAAACCAAACTAACCAACCAAACAAAAAGCTGACACACCATTGAGACACTAGAAAATATGCCAACTTGAGTGGAAGAAACTGGACAATTTTTCTGTTTTCCCTGAGAGCAAGATGATTTTCAGGATGGGAGACTTTCAGTTTAAAAAGCACAGAACATTTTCTGTTCAACGAAGATCAAGGAGGCCACCTCACTTGGAAGCAATTTAGTTATGCAAAGCCATAAAACTCTACCTTCAGCCCTGGTAGAGTGGACTGAATTTGAGAAGCTCTGTGGGTGTAAAATGCACCTGGGTGTTCAAAGACTGTGTGGGAAAATAGTGTAAGATATTTCACAAATATATATATATATATTTTAAATTTTGATTACCCATTGAATTTGTAATATTTGACATATTGGGTTAAATAAACTACATTGTTAAAATTAACAAGTTCACCTAGTTTTCATTTTCTTAAAGGTTTTGTTTTTATTTTTTATTGAGTATGTGTGTATGTCTGTGTGTTGGTATATGTATGTCCATGCAGGAATCTGTAGAGACCAGAGGAAGACATCGGCTCTGCTGGAGCTGGAATTGCAGACAGTTGTGAGCCACCTGACATGGCTCTTAGGCTCTGAGCCATTTCTTTTATTCCCTCAACACTTCCATGTTTTTATGTTTTTTATGTATATATGGCATGTATGTATGTGTGTCTACATGTGTATAGGTGCCTCTGGGTGAGTATGTGGAAGCCAGAGATCGATTGACACTAGGGATCTTCCTTGACCACTTTTCATCTTATTAATTGAAACATCTCTGAATTGAACTTATAACTCACTGCTACAGTGTGCCTGACCATGCTAGCCAGTGTGCTCTTGGGAATGCCCTATCTCCACTTTTTGAGTGAGCACTGGAATTATAGGTGGGTTGTCATGCCCACAAGGATTTTGTTTTGTTGTGGTTTTTGAGACAAGGTCTCTTTGTTATATAGATCTGGCTGGCCTGTAACTCGCTGTATAGCCCAGGCTGGCTTCAAACTTACAGAGATCTCCCTGCCTCTGCCTCCCGAGTGCTGGGATTAAAGGTGTGCACTACCACTATCTGGCCTGTTTTCTTCTTTTACCAAGTGAGTTCCAGGGATGGAATATAAGCCATTAGGCTTGATAGCAGGCACCAGTACCTTTTGAGCCATCTCACCAGTCCCTATGCAAACTTCTTGCCCTCTATTTAAACCTAAACCTAATGCCAGGACCTGAGCAGGTTACTGGACCTCTACATACCTCTTCCCAATGTGGCCACATTGAATAAATATCCTGCCTTTTAATTTT